TTTTTTTTTTTTTTTTTTTTTTTTTTTGTCTCATGTCACAGATGACTGTTTCGCACAAACACAGCATAGTGGAAGAAAAATTCAGAAGCAAAGTAGCCAAGCACATGTTACGATGGCCACGAATGCTTGGTCAGAATCCTTCCCCTTTGCTCAGCAGTGAACTTATTCCCAGCACCCTTCCCTCCTGACTTGTCCTCCTCACTGTCCAGTTTCTGTTCTTTCCTTGGGTTTCCTGTGAAGTTGGAGGGAAGTTTGTAGTCATGTGACACTAGCCGTCCTGCCCCTGCTGTCAGAGATTTTTTTCTCCAGAGAGGTGCCTGTCCTGTGCTTGGATAGTCAGTTGGTTATTTGTGTATGAAACAATGTACAAATCAATGTTTTGAAAATAATGATCTCAGACTTTCTAAGTTAAATTTTAAACAATTTGATTGTTTGCCATATTGGGTGGGTTTACTCTTAGAATCGCATGCTGTAGAAATGCTCTCAAGTGCATATAGGACTCAGTCCTTAGATGTTCTTTTTATTTTAAGAAATAACCTCTTCAAGTTGTAACCGTGACGGCTTTGTCCATTACTGTTGCTATTCTGCACACATATCAGAAGCAGCAAGCGCGCTTTACACACTGGAGTAGTGGGATAAGTCACTGTTTTCTTTACTTTACAAAACAAAACAGTCCTGTTGGGAACGATTGCTGTCGGATTCAGGAAGGGAGGGGGAAAGCTGCTCTGCTGCCTCTGCCACTTCCTGGAAGCCTGCCTCCGTGGAACAGCCTTTTGCATCTGAGGCGACCATTTTTACACCATGCAGATCTTCGTGGTTATCATCTCAAAGCCATGTTCAGCAGCAGCATTTGGACAGCAGTGTTCTGTGGGTTCTCCCCTCCCCCATATCCTGCACCCCTCATAGCAGTAGTGGCTTCGCCATTCTGTTTTCTGCAGCGTCCTGTACAAAACTGTGCTGTGAGTGTGCGGTAGGCCTGGACATGGCAAAGAGAATACAGCGAAGCCCCTTCTCTTCCTACCAAACAACTCTGTAGAGCTCTCTGCACCCTGTACCCTTTTCACCTTTTGTATTTAATTTTAAAGTCAGTGTACTGCAAGGAGGCTGGATGCAAGATAGATACTATATTAAACTGTACTGTTATTTAAGATGTAATAAAGCAGTTTGACATGAGGGACTCTGGTGTGATGGTTATTGGAGGGTCAGCTTCAGTGTGTGGATGTAGCCACATGTCCATACAGCTGACTCAGCAGTTATATAACGTCATGAGGTTAGGACCAGCCTGATCTACTTTAAATTTTAGGACTGCCAAGCAATATAGACACTGTCTCAAGGGGGTTGGGGGGGGATCAGCTCCTGGGAGGTTTCTGATACATATCTCAGGCCTGAAGAGCCACATGTTTTCACGACAAGTGGCCTTTCACCCTCAGCATCTGGGCCCAGTCTGCCATCTCCTGTTTCAGCATCTACCAACCAGCTGCTTTGGCTTCTTCCTCTTTCTCCACTAAAATATCTGAGGACCTGCCCTTCCAAAGACACTCCTTTTGACTAAGCAGCATTTCCTTCTTAGTCAACAAAGGTTACTGCAACTTGAAGGAGTAAGCATCAACCCCGGGTTGTTGGACTGCTATTCCAGCTTCTGGAACCCATTTCACTGCAGTGCCTGGTTCTAAGCTTTCTCTCTCCCCCCCCCCCCCTTTCTAAGATTTATTTATTTAATGTATTCACCATTGCTCTCTTCAGATACACCAAAAGAGGGCATCAGACCCCATTACAGACGGTTGTGAGCCACCATGTGGTGGTTGCTGGGAATTGAACTCAGGACCTCTGAAAGAGCAATCAGTGCTTTTAACCACTGAGCCATCTCTCCAGCCCCTCGTTCTAAGCTTAATGATACAATTTTTAATCTTAAGTTGTTTTTTTTTTTCCTCTTTTTCGAGACAGGGTTTCTCTGTGTAGCCTTGGCTGTCCTGGAACTCACTCTGTAGACCAGGCTAGCCTGGAACTCAGAAATCCACCTGCCTCTGCCTCCCAAGTGCTGGGATTAAAGGCGTGTGCCACCACTGCCCGGCTAATCTTAAGTTTTAAGATTATAAAAGACAACTAATCTTCAGGCTCACATCCTCTAAATACTGACGGGGCCAGGCCACCTTGTTTGGACGATGATAAGCAAATGAATCCATCCAGGGTCCGTGGTGCACCTTGAAGTGACTCCCCTGGTGCCACACAAATGTTGTGATTGGCAGGTCAAGCAGGTGGTTTTGCCTAGTGTAATTCTCAGTTTACCTGAAATAAATGTGTTCACACACACAAATCCTTTGCAAGTCTTAACCTACCTCAACTCCCACTGAGAATGCAGAGCACTTAAGGTCTTTTTGATCTGGAGGGTGAGGCTAACTATGCCCCCAACAATACCTTCTGTCTTTGGGAATCCATTGCCTGACTACAAGCAGGCCTGAATGGACTGGAGTAGGTCTGTCTCTATCTCAGAAGACCTGTCCTGCTTCTCAACCAACGTCAAGGCCACTACCCACTTGTCATTGAAAACATGTTTACTTTGAATATGTGGGCAGCTTTAATGACCAAAGAGCATACAAGAGCATAAGTCCTGAGCAACAGGCCTCACAAATGCTCAGGCTTACACATTTACATCCACCATTAAATATCACTCGTGCTCTGAAAGCTGAGGTGCTAGGGTTCCCTGTGTGTAGTCACCCAGTCTGCTGCCCATAGTGGGAGTACACCTGTTCAAATGTACACAGACAGCTGAGAGGCTGCTGTATCTTAGACCCACTTTTGCTGTGTCCCTTCATCTTGTCTCCTGTATATGGGCTGATACCCTTTTATAACCCCAGGATTCCAATTCTGTTGGCCTGTAAAGGGAACTACCTCATTATTTGCCAAATACTATAGGCTGGGATCCCAATAAAAGGCCAGAAGAGAGCTGGGCTGGCCTGGTTCCAGCTTGCTCCTTTTGCTGTTTCCTGTGGGTCCTACTCTCATACTGTGCCCCTTTTCAGTACAGCTTGGCACCACCAGCGTTCTGTTAGACCACTCCAACCCCTCAGGATCCAAGAGCAGCCAGCAGCCTGTCACCTCTGCCTCTTCACACAAGGTAATCTTGGACAAGGTATTTGCCCTCAGGTTCCCCATGTGGGAACCCATGAATAGTCTGGCAGGGATTCTATGAGAACGAAGTCCCTGGTGTGAGATTACAGTTGGTAACTATGTAACCCAGACTCCTGAACCCACTGCTCCATTGCCTGAGATATCTGTTCCTAACTACCCTAGGCAGGGCTCTGCTTTTGCCTGCTGCACTCAAAAAGCGAGTGTCTGGCAGCAGTCCCACTTGAGAAGGGATAAGGTTGCCCCTCACCCACCCCAATAAAGAGACTCTAGCCCCTGATGGTGACATCAGTATTGGTCTTTGCCTATGCCAAGTACACTGTTGGAGGATGGACAAGATAATTTCTTAGTATCTCATGACAATCAACTCTCCTCTATAATATACTCTTCTGGTTAACCGTCACCTTATTTAGGTACAGAACAGCCTTCACTCAGCTGTTTGTTCCATCCTAGTCACATGAAACCAATTTCCCACTTAGTACTAAGACAGGACCCAAAGAGGTACAAGGCTCCCCCTCATATCTGTGCCTGAGAGCTTACCTGACAGGACAGACAGACACGGACACACACACAGTGTGACAGCCTGACTTTTTGTCACAGTCCCATCCTGTTTACAGCTCTTCATTCTTTCTTTTCCTTGTCATTTAGCCTTTGAAGAGGACTAAGTCCAGGTATTGGAGGCCTGAAGCAAAAATGTGTATAATTGCCTTAATTTCTTTCTAGTACCTCACTCACCCCCATGTGACCTTTGATCTGCTGCCCTTTGAAACTAGCCCAAATTAAACACTCTAGGAGTCTTTGAGTACCCTCTTGCCTTCCAAGTCATTAGTACAGTGGTGGGAATGAGCACTTGGTATCTGAGTCTTCAGCATCTGGTGGGGCCCTTAGTGTAAGACATTGTACAATGTCAGCTTTGTTCCTTCCTCTGAAATGGAGAAGCCACCTGCACAGTCCAGGCCTTGGTCCCACTGTATAAAAAGGGTTTCCCCAGCAATCACTGGACATCTGCTATTTCAATTCAAGACTACACAAGTTACTTGGTGTGTGACCTTGGACTGCAGACCATAGACTGGCTGCCTTTGCAGAAGGATATGACTACTCCCACTCTGGAAGTCTCTCCAGGCCTGGCCATGTGCCTGTCATTTACCACTAGATACCAATCAAGTATTATTATTATTATTATTATTATTATTATTATTATACAATAGCAGCCAAAAGCACAGTTACAGCCTTTGGTGGGTGGGTGTGGCTGGCATTCACTCTAGAGAAGTTAGGCTTACAAAACTCATGAGGAAGTTACAAAATTTAAGAAATCCCCACAAATTTCCTACCATTCTCCCTACCCACAATTTTGCGTCCTCACTGCATCGATCTGTTCTTTTTGGAAGGACAGCACACATGTCTCAGGAGTTCCTACCAGAGAACATCCTGGCTGCAGCAGGTATGGGGGCTGTGGGGAAGTTTGGAGATTGGGCTATACAGGAAGGGTAGTGGCAGGGTGCCAAGTCCTGACAAACGTAGCATAGTGTGAACATCTTAAAAACATGGTGCTGGGAGCCAGGAGACTGCAAAACACCTACTGGTGCACTATGCACACTGCTGGACATCTAAGACCTGATACATGAACTGGGTGTCCACCAGTTCAGCATACCCCTAGATCAGTTACAAAATCAGTTAATGGCCTCCCTCCCCTGCTCTTAAAGCTGTGGGTGAGGGATGCTGTTTACACAGTCACTTCTCAACTATCAGACTTCCTTTTTCTTTTTGAGACAGGGTCTCTCACTATGGTATCTCTGGCTGGCTTCGAATTCCTAGAAATACTGGGCTCTCAATGCTGGGATTAAAGAAGTGAACCACTGTATCAGCCAGCTGTCAGGTTTGTTACTTTCAGGCCCAAGTCCTAGAGGCCTAGTCAATTGCCAAGGGGTATCAAGTCACTGTTGGTGGGCCTGATTTGAGCGCAGGTGCCCCAGGCACAAATGGGACCTAAGTTCTACTTCTGAAGGCTACCAGGTCCATTAAGAACAACGTGGGAACAGGAACCCGTTGCGAAGCCCATCTTCCCAACAAGTTGGCCCGCGTTGACCACATGGTCCTAGAGACCTCGCTAGCAAAAAGCATGCAGAGTGTGACGTAGGACAGGAATAAAGATCTGACCAGGAGAGGAAAGGAGGCAAAAAGAGGGAAAGAGTCTGGTGCTTTTCTCTGCTGTTGTCCAAATAGTCAAAGGGACTGACCCGGAGCCTTTTGCCTCTCCTCGGCTATGCTTCCTTTTTTTTTTCCTCTGCTCCCTCACCCTCTCTCTCCCTAGGCCCCGCCTCTCCCTTCCGCCCAGACTCCACCCTGTGTCCCCTCCTAGTCTACCGATCTTCCCCTCCCCTCCTACTTAGTCTCCTTACTTCTGTCCCTTTTTAGCCCTGGGTTCCGCCCTTTTGAGACCTGTCCCTCCCCGTCTGCCCCGTCCCTCCTGTGCTGTCTTCCGCCCCCTTGTCCCCATCCCATTCCCTTAGGAGCAGTTTCAGCTCCTTCGCCACGACCCTTCTGCTCTGCCTTTGCCCCTCCTCCTCCCCTCTATCCCGCCCACTTTCTCTCGGCCCCGCCTCCTTCATTTGCATCGCCCCTCCCTTTTTACATCTGCCTCCCACAGCCTCTGATCCTTGGCCTACAAAGGGTTTTGAGAAAACCGAAGTTTGAGTGCCTGTCTGTGTAGGTGCGGCTGCGCCGCTCTCCCCACGTGCTCTGCAGCGCATGCGTGCGGGCTGCGCTTGCGCACTGACAGCCGCGGCGCAGCGCTGCTTGGTGGTGCCGGCCTCTGGACCGAGCGGCCATGGGGTGGCAGGCGGCTGGGTCGCTGAGAGCCAGGTAGCAGTAGGGCAGCAGGGACCGCTGGCTCGGCCCAGCATGTAGACGTCCACGCGGGCGCGCGGCAGCCGACGGTGAGTGTGGGGCCTGGGACCGCCCTCTGCCCGGCGTCACTTGCCTGGGACCCGTGGAGACCCGGTCTCGGCGCCGGCCCTGCCCACCTACCCGAGGCCGGGTGCTGGTGGCACTGACGCGCCTCCCTGCGTCCGAATGTGGGCTGTGGCCAGGATGACGTGTGGTCTCGGGAACGAGCCAAGGGGACAAGTCTGAGGATCCGGTCCGGGAGTGGGTCTGGGGGACGAGTTAGAGGTTCGGGTCCCGGGAGAAGGCAGGTAGGCCGCCGTTCTGTTCCTGGCCAGTTCAGCGCGCAGCACCGCAGCCGACTCAGCTGCATTGGTCTTCCAGTGGGGCCTTAGCAGGCAGGAGAGGCCTTGGCATGTGAAACTTAGAAGCCCAAAGCTAGTGCAAAGTAGTCAATTAAGCGTTTTGTAAAGGAATCGGGACGCGAAATTCTCCAAAATCCCATCGTAAACTTGGTATCCAGCACTTGCCAGAAACTTCCAAAGTCCTGAAGAGTCCGTGGAGATGTTCCTAGAGGCAGCTGCCTCTCATGATGTCACACTCACAGGCCGCTTGTCTTGGCTTCTGGCAGGTTTCTTAATTGTGGGAATAGGGCGTGCCCAGCACAGTCCCAGGGTCTGACTTTTCTTGGCCAAGATCCTGCGTCTCTTTCCAGCTCTCCCAAGCAATGGGCTTTCTCCTGGCTTTGATTCTGAATAGCAAATTGCTTTTCCTTTCTTGCTTGGGAACACTCTCTGTTTCAGTTCAAAACTTAGTCGTTTGGCTTGGCTCTTGAGAAGAATGTTTTTCAGTCTTATATTCATTTATTTCATTGTTGGTTTCCACAGGCCAGACACTGGCATCCTTGCTTAAGTAATTAAAACACGTCACCTTCCCTCTCAACATAGCTCTTCTGAGCCTTTAGTGACCTGTCCATTGAAGTATATTTGTCCTCAGCAGTGACTTCACTGTGACTTACACAGCCCATCTTGGGCTCTGGGACAGCAACAGGTGCCAATATACGGTCTGACCAGGTAGCTTCATTTGGAGGTGGCATCTCAGAATGCTTCTGCTTTTTCTCCTTTGTAGATTTATTTACTAAAAACAATTAGTGAGACTGCTATTTTGTTCATCCTTTGTTCATCTTGTTTGAAGTGCTACAGATCCAGCCCAGATCCTCACACAGGTGCTATCCCACTGAGCCACAATCCATCCCACACCCCTCCTTTTGGGTAGAAGTGGCTAGCAGATAAAACAGGAGTACTTAAGCGAATAGTTTAGCTCTCTAGGCTTCACTTGGAGAATGGAGAGAAGCAAGTGGCTTTCTTTTCCTTTTTCTTTTTTCTTTTAAATGGGAGTGGAAACACACTTGCTACTGCTCATGTGTGGAAGAACTTCCAAGAGTTGGTGTTCTCTTTCTACCACGTGGCTTCCATGGATCAAACCCAAGACCTCAGGCTTGGCAGTAAGTGCCTTTACCTGCTGAACCATCTCTCTGATCCTTCCTTTGTTTTTAGACATAACCTCATGTATGCCAAGCTGATTTCTAATTCCCTGTTGTAGCCAAGGGTGACTCTGAACTTGTCGTGTGTGTACCTCTGCATGTTGGGATTACAGGCATGAACCAGCCATATCCAGTTGGGGTTTTTCTTGTTTTAATGTGATGTTGGGGTGAAGCCCAAGGCTTTGTGTGTGCAAGCACTGTACCAACTGAGCTCTTTTTCAGGCCTCTGGTGGTTTTACTCATTTTTTTTGCAGGGTGGAGGATGGACTTTGAGACAGGGTTTCTCTGTCCTGGAACTCACTCTGTAGACCAGGCTGCCCTCGAACTCAGAGATCCCCTGTCTCTGCCACCTGAGTGCTGGGATTAAAGACATGCACCACCACCACCCCAAGTCCCACTCTTACTTCTTAAAGACTTACTTTATTTTGTATTTATGTGTTTGCATGTGTGTCTGTGTGTGATTATTATGTGCACATGAGTACATGTGCCTTGGAAGATGTCAGATCCCGTAGAGCTGGAGTTACAGGTGGTTGAAAGCTGCCTGATGTGGGTGCTGGGAAGAAACGCAAGTTCTCTGAGAGCAGCAAGAGCCTTTTAACTGCTGAGGCATCTCTCCAGCCCCTCCGGTGGTGGGAATGGATTCATCTCCGTCTTCTTTACCTTGAGTCTGTTTTCTGGTGTAGCAGCAAGAGAGAGATCTGCGGAAAACTCAGCACTTGGAGGAGGAGCCTTGGGAGGACGAGACAGTGGGCTGTGTGTGGGCTGAGATCTCAGGCTCCGTTCTCTAGGACTTATGAGATCTGTTTACAGTTACCACATGGCTTTCGCCCTCCTGAAAGAGTGTCACTTCCAACCCCAGGAAACCATCCTTATTATCTGTGCTAGTTGCTTAGCTTATCATTGTCCTATACTCTGATCCATGGTGGCTTTCCTGAGGGCTACGGCATGAACAAGTTCATGAGAACAAACGTTTCGGTTAAGACATACCAGCAATGTATGCCTAGTGCCACCCACCGAGCAGTGGGAAGGGCGGCAGCACCTGACCACTTAGCCTTCCTTGGGTCTGTGAAGCTACTCCACCACCAGATGGGTTCTTGGATCCCGTTCCGTAGACCTTTCCAGAAGCAGCACACTTCCCCGGACCTGCCTGCTAGCTTGGGTATCATTTATTTGTAGAAATGAGGCAAGTATTAGGTAATCACTAACCCTAGACATTGTGGCTCTCAGTAGTGATGCCAGCATGGTCGATATAGCAATGCTCTGTCTCACAAAACAAATGAACAAGAACTTGAAACTTTTTCAACTTGGTATTAACTAATGAAGTTAAACATTTCCCTATTGCTCTCACTAATTTTCCTTCTTTTTCTTTTTTTCTCTCTTGCGCATTTCTTCCTTCATTCCTTCCATTTTTAAAGACTCAGACTTTTGTAGCACAGCCTGCAGTCCTACCTCAACACGCTGAGTGCTTGGGTCACAGGCACACACCAACACACCGGGCTTCACTTTTCACTTACTGCTTCTACAGGTGTTTGTTTGAAGTTCACACGGAATTGGACGTGTTTGTATTAAGTTTCTTGTGCTGATTCTGTGTTCGTGCCTGTCTTTGGTTCCTGTTGTACATGAGTTTATTGACATCTTGATGTCTTTCTTGCTACTTTCATAAGTTCTTTAGGCATACTCCATAATAGTGATTCAATGCTTTTTCCAGGCCAGCCAGGGCTACTCAACAACAAAAATTCCAACAGTCTTAGCTAAGTACACCCACCCCCACCAGCTGTCTCAGTATCGGCTAACCTTGCCTAGCCTTAGCTTACACTTCACTGTCTAGACCTTGCTTGCAAGAGTCACCTAGTGAAAAGTTGGGGACAAAAAAAAAAAAAAAATAAAGAAAGAAAGAAAAGAAAGAATGATGATTCAGCCCCAACAACCCGAATTCAATCCTGGGGACCCTCAGGAGGGAAGGGATTTACAAGCTGTCCACTGACTGCCACATGCAGATTGTGGCATGCAGGCAAGCATGTGTGCACAAACCCATAAGTAAATAAATACATCTGTTTATTTTAAATTAATTTTTTTTGGGGGGGGTGTTCAAATCAGGGTCTCTCTGTAGTTCTGGTTGTACTAGAACTCAATCTGTAGACCAGGCTGGCCTCAATTTAGAGAGCCACCTGCTTCTGCCTCCCAAATGCTGGGATTAAAGGCTTATAACAGAATTTCTTGGCTTTTTTTTTCTTTTCTTTTCTTTCTTTCTTTCTTTCTTTCTTTTTTTTTTTTTTTTTTGTTGTTTTTTTTTTTTTTTTGTTTTTTCGAGACAGGGTTTCTCTATGTAGCCATGGCTGTCCTGGAATTCACTCTGTAGACTAGGCTAGCCTCGAACTCTCAAACTCAGAAATCTGCCTGCCTCTGCCTCCCAAGTGCTGGGATTAAAGGCATGCGCCACCACCGCCCGGCTCTTTTTCTTTTTCCTTTCCTTTCTTTTCCTTTCCTTTCCTTTTCTTTTCTCTTCTTTTCTTTTCTGAGACACAGTATTTCTGTGTAGCTCTGGCTGTCCAGGACCTCACTCTGCAAACTGGCCTGCCTTCTTTTTTTATTTATTTAATTTTTGGTTTTGTTGTTGTTTCTTGATTTTGTTTTGAGACAGAGTTTTTCTTTGTGACTCTGGCTGTCCATAGTTCAGGCTGGCCTCAAACTCAGAGATCCATTTGTCTCTGCCTTCCAAGTGCTTGGGATTAAAGACCACCACCTGGCTCTTTTTTTATATTTTAAAAGTTTCACTATGTAGCCTTGAAAGGCCTGCAACTCACTTTGTAGACTAGGCTATCCTTGAACTCAGAGAACTGCCTGCTTCTTCCTCTCTGTACTGGGATTAAAGGCATTCCTCCATACCGGACAATAATAATATAATTAAAAAAAAAAAAAAAAGCTCGGGGCCTGGACAGATGAGTCATGGTTAATAGCACTTGTTGCTTTTATAGAGGAAATGAGTTTGTTTCCCTCTGCACCTATTTGGCTGCTAACAGTTGTAAACTCCAGTTCCAAAGGATCCAGCACCCTCTTCTGGTCTCTGTGGGAACTGCATACACATAAAAATAAATCTTAATTTTCATTTTGTTTTTTTTAAAGGCTCCAAGGGTGGATTGGTACCCGAGAGCCTAGGTGGTGGCTACTCTCTCTCTTGCCTTGAGAAACTAGCAGTCCAACCCTAGTGGACACAAAATAGGGTGACACCATGTCCTCTCGATGACCCTCTCCACTTTCATCCTGGCCATGGCCCCGTGAAATGGCACCATATTCCACCCACACAATGTGTTTGCGTGATTGGATGGTCTTGAATCCTGCCTTCTACATACTCTTTCCATCTCTGTCTCCAGCAAACACAAAGCTAGAGCCTGGGAGACCCAACAGTCCATACCTTCTAGTCGCTTGAACAAAGGCCAAGTGTAGCATGTACCAGGGTCTGTCTAACCTAATGACCAGGACAAGACTGTACATGAGCCTGGCCACATTCTT